AAATTTTGCATGCTTAACTTAGAGTTGAAAATAATTTTTGAATGTGTCTTGATTTACATATTTTCAAAATATATATACATATACAAAAAAAAAACAAAAAAAAACAAAAAAAATAATATTTGCAAAAGAAGAGTGCGAAAAATAGGCACCAAAAACAAAAAAAAAAACTCTTGAATTCAAGGTGATTCTATCTTATAAAGCCTAAGCTGACCGAGTAATTAAGCCCAAGGAGTATTTTCATACTTAATGACCTAAGCCCATTTGGGTTGGGATCCATTGGCCCAAAACTCGTTAAATGGTCACTTAGAAAGCCCGTTAAAGTAGAAAAAATCACCAATGAAGAAAGAGTTAAAAAAAATTAAAAAATTAAAAAAAAACTAATAAATGTTTTATAGTTGTATATAAGGCCTTAGAAAATATTTTTAAATCAAGCAACTTGAAAATTATTTAAAACAAAGAGTTAGCATGTTCTTTTCAAAACTTTTAAATTAAATTTCTAAGTTTGGCTTGGTTTCATATTGCTACAATGAGAAAATTTTCTTAAAAATAGACCTTAGAGTTATATATAAAAATGTTTTCTTGAGTGATAACTGGCTCCAATTAGATTATCTAAAAGTTATCAGATGAATTAGTTATTTACTGACTTCTTTAATTTGGCAAGTTGACCGAATTTTGTGGGTATATTCACTGCAAACCCTCACGACACTACAACTCGTCCACTAGGGTAACCTAGGGGTTTAAAGGCTTGTTGTATACGCTAAATACAACCGCGATTCCTGCGAAAGTGAGTTAGGATTTTTCTTTTTATTTTATTTCTTTGCTAGAGGACTAGCAAAAGTTTAGGTGTGGGGGTATTTGATAATCATATTTTATTACAGTTTTATACCCTCATTATCTATTTTATATGAATAAATATACCACTAATAATTATTTTTATCTTTTAATTGCAGGTTAATGAAGAATAAATCTCAAACTCTCATCTCTCAACAAAAACCCATTGATTAAATGAAGAAATGAAGCAAAGAAGCACATTGGAAAATCAATTTCCAAATTATCCAAAAGCCCAGAATGAAGTCGTGTAGCCTGTAGAAGCCGGAGAAAATCAAAAATCCAATATGAAAAGAAATCATATTCAAAATGGTTGGCCACAAAGAAACGACGATATCTCCTAATCCGGAAGGCGGAATTTAACATATAATATATGAAAATCGCCTATCTCGACGAGACGAAGCTATCCGTGAAATCAGAATTTAGAAATAGTGGGCATCGATATCGGCATCGATGTGGGCATCGATGCTGGCATCGATACCTACATCGATGCCTGCATCGATACCAGATCACTGTAGCGCGCGTCAATGGCTGATTTTGCTTGTCTTGGGGCTCAAGTTTGATCCAATGGCTCTCATTCACTGATGTTTACTATAAATAGGGGTAGAGAGTGAGGGGTTAGAGGTGTGAAAATTTTTGTAACTCCTTTTGGAGAGGAGGGCTACTCTTAATTGAGAAGGCCTTCCAAAAATTGTAACTTTAGTTGCAATTAATAAAAATAATTTTTTCCTCTTTAAATTTGTTCTTTCTCCTCTTTGTTGAATGATGAGGATGGAGATGAAGAGCAATTTGAAGGTTTGCATTTCTTTTCTCTTTTATTTCTTTTTAGTAATTTCTTTATTATTGCTTATTAGTTAGATTTAAATTCATGCTTGTAGTATAGATTTACTTTCTTGTCTTTTTATTTTCTTTTTGCACTTTAATTTGTAGAGTAGATTTATTTTTCTTGCATTTAATTTCTGCAATTTATTTTGTAGTTTAGATTTTTATTTTCTTTGTAATTAGATTTATTTCTTGTTCATAGTTTAGATTTTTCTTTTCTTTTTAATTTTGTAATTAGTCTTCTTTCTATTTACACACCATTTTCACTCTCTCAATCTCTTCACAATCACATTCACTTATCACTCCTACTTGTCACGCACATAACATAAGAACCAATTTCATATTTTCTCCTACAAAACATCTTCCTCGTGGGATCGATATCTTAAATACTATAACTTGACACGGTTGTGCACTTGCAACCTTTTTGGTACATGTTTATGCCGCATCAGGCACCAACCACCTCAAACGCCATTTAGATAAACACAACAAAGGCCAAACTCCTCAAGGTGATATCCGACAATATATGATTTCTCAATCCTCCTCTTCTGGTAATCTCGGTAGTTGGAACTATGACGCTGCCAGAGCCAGAAAATGCGTAATCAGGTTTATCATTCTTAAAAACCTTCCTTTTAAATTAGTAGAAGATGATGAATTTGAAGATATGTTTAGAGATGGTTTTTATCCTGCATTTAAAAAAATTTCTCGTCAAACCTGTCAACGTGATATTTTAAAATATTATCAGGAGGAACAAGGAAAAATAATTTCTTATTTTAAAAATTTAAACTGTAAATTTTCTTTAACTTCTGATATTTGGACATCTAGAGCACAAACTGGATATTTATGTATCACAGCACACTGGATTGATGAAAATTGGGAAATATAAAGAGTTGTTTCTTTTATTGCAATAGAAGAGTCACATACTGGTGCTAATGTTGCAAATTTAATAATTGAGAAGAGTCACATACTGGTGCTAATGTTGCAAATTTAATAATTGAAGAACTTATGAAATTAAAAATTTCAGAAAGAATATTTTCTCTCAAATTTAATAATTGAAGAACTTATGAAATTAAAAATTTCAGAAAGAATATTTTCTCTTTCACTAGATAACGCAAGTAATAACAATGTAGTTGTTGATTTTATCAGATCAATTTTATCATTGCCATGTCATGGTGATCTTTTTCATATTAGGTGCATCTGTCATATTTTAAATTTAATTGTTCAAAGTGCATTTACTGAAATTAAACCCATGATAGAAAAGATTAGAACAGTTGCTTACATGCATAGTTCTTCTGAACAAAGACTTAAAAGATGGAAACAATTTTGTAAAAGGAAAAATGTAAAGCCTAGACTAATTCCAAAAGATGTTGACTATAGGTGGAATTCCACATATGCAATGTTAAGTGTAACAATAGAATATAAAGACATTATAACTGATTTTATAAACTATTATGCTTCTAGTTCTAGTTCTGGTAGCACTTATGGAATAACTGAAGATGAATGGACAATTATATGTAATTTAAATAAAATGTTACAAGTTTTTTATGATGCTACAATGTTATTATCTGACTGTTATTATCCAACCATTACTTTAGCTGCTTTACAAATTTTAAATATTCAAAAAAAATTTGATAAATATCGTTTGGATGCTACTTTTGGACCTATGGTTTTTGAAATGGAGAGCAAATTTAATAAGTATTTTAGGCCTATTCCTCATATTTTTGGTTTGGGGGTTCTTATTGATCCATGCTTGAAGGATATTGGCCTTCGAAGTTTGTTACAGTCATTGTATGGTGGACAGGTTATAGACTTAGATGATGGAACCACCCTGAATGCTACTACTCATCATTTACTTATTAGAAATTATTTTCAAACTTTATATGATGAGTATGCAGCTAGACATGGTGTAGCTGCACAACAGTCTGCAGCTTCGGTTTCTTCGAGCTCATCCCGAGCCCGAGGTAAAAGTGTAAGTTTTGATAGGTATGCAATGGTAGCCGAGCTAACTGGTGGATCTGGACTTGGATCGTCATCATCGGAGGTTTCTGAAATAGATGAATATTTTTCTGCTTCTTTAGTTAGATGTCAAGGAAATGCTTTAGATATTTTGCAATGGTGGAAAGTATATGGATCAGTTTCATATCCTATACTTTCCACCATGGTTCGTGACTTACTAACAGTGCAGGTTTCGACGGTAGCTTCGGAATCCGCCTTCAGCACAGCAGGTCGTTTGATCGACGATCACAGGACATGCTTGGATCCATATACTGTACAAGCGGTGATGTGCCTACAAGATTGGTGGAGGTACGAGAAGCGAACGCAAGGCATCGATCGGATGGCTGGAATTGAAGATAAATTTGAAGAATTGGGACTAGCAGATAGATATAAAGAATAGATTGTAGTTTTTATATCTTAGCTTAAAATTTGTAAAGAATTATTTTGGAAATAGTTGCAAATGATAGTGATATAGGTGAGTAGGTGCCAACCTAGTTGGGATTTACTTATCTATTATGATGCGATTAATTCCAAAATAAATTTGTACTTGTAATTTGTAAATAATTTATTAATTATTAATAAAGAATTTGTTTTTATCATTTTTTATTTGTAATTTATGTCATTTTAAGTAATTAATAAAATTATTGTTTTTATTATTTTTCTTGTCTTTTTTTATAATTTAAATTTTAAATAAAATTAAAAAATTTTGGAAAAAAATTTAAAAAAATAAAAAAAATGAAAAACACCCTGGCCAGCCCGGAACCCGGCCCGGTCGGGCCCGGGGCCGGGTCCGGGCCCCGGTTTTGCCCGGCCCGGGCCCGGATTTCCGGGCCGGATGGACAGGCCTACCTATAGTGCATAGAGGTAACCTCAACATAACTACATCACTAATTAATGTATTGTATATAAAATAATAATAATAAAACTACTACTACAAGTCCAAGTCCCTCGACCCTCAGTGATGAAATAAATCTCGTGCCTCCCATTTCCAAAACACCCCCCAAACCTGAATATAATGAGTGTGATTTCCAAAACACCCTCAGTGATAAATTACATCTCATATTATAAATCCACAGAGCATGTAAATCCAAATCTGAATCTTGTTCTTTTAACACCCCATGCATACAGTCAAGTATCAACATACATAAGACACATACACATGCACAAGACACATACACACATGAGAAGACTTATAGCAATAATTTCCTTGTTATTTTCAATCATGCACAAGACACATACACACATACAGTCAAGTATATATAGAGTTATTATGAAGAAACTTTTGTGTGTTAAGCGCATAAAATATTTAAGCGCACAAGACACATACACACATACACACATACAATTAACTAACTTACCTCATAAAATCAAGAGTCCTCAGCATCGTTAAGTTCCCTCCTCTGCACGCCACTACTGCTTCCTCCAGCAAGTCCAGCCTGAAAATAAATAGATTTACATTTACAGAATGAAATTCAACAATATAAGACATATTATTAATTTACCTGTGCGCCAGCGTCTAAATCTAATTGGTCCAAAACTTCTTCAAATAATTCAGCTAAAATCTTCCCGGACAAGCATAAAACGATGTGTGTAAAAACATCGTCGCTAGTAGGGGATGGAGGCAAATCTGAACACATAGCTGTCGTCATCTGCATGAGTAATGTACGGTCGATCTTATCGTGCAGATAACGATTGACGCGCATAATTGTAGAAGTGGTGTGAGTTTTGTTTGATGATGTTGTCGCAGTCGGGGTTGTCGAGGACGCCGTGGAGGATTTTCTGGAGGTACCCCGCTAAGCTCCAACCCCCATCAATGGAAATATGCTCCGATTATTACACCCCATCACATTCATTGCAATGGCATTATTTTCCTCTCTAGACAAGACATGAGGGTCATCAGTAGCTTCTTGGGTAGCACGTAGTGCTGCATCCTTCGACGCGGCAGCAATATTATCCTAAATCACATAAGAAAAATAGATATATATTGAATTATCAAATAATGAATGTGGCCCTGTAAAAAGCCGTGGGTGGAAATGCGAATTTTTTTTTAAGAAGCCTGATTTCAAAGTACAACAGTTTAAACTATTAATTAATGAAATGTACAACAACGTAATAGTTATTATTTAATGATTTATTAAAAAAATAATTACCACCAATACCATGTTTTCTTTAATCTTGTCTTTATTTTTATATGTTGAGTGAAAAGTGTCGTAAGCTAACTTTTCCTTCAAATTGATCGGCATTATGGGCTTCCCCTACAAAATATAATAGTAAATGTCGAAAAGTTTGGTCATATTGAAGGTTGTAGCATGTGAATACATCAACTTTAAATATTATATCGTGTCTCGACAATAACTATACTCAAGATTGGCAAAGAACGTCGATCCCAAGTTGTGGTCAAGCTTCTGCTTGCTATGTCGGTTCGTCGAGCCCTTCTTAGATTTATTCTACAAAAAAAAGGTGTTAAAAATGAATTACATTTACAATATGCTTTTGTACGCAACATGATAATGTACTCATACCTGTGCGGACTCGGTATCCCAATAAAAAAGAAGAGCCGTGAAATAATCGAGATCCACCCTCTCATAGAGATTTAAAAATCTCTGCCAATCTTGGGTATATTTATCATATCACTAGTAGAAAACTGAGCATTTGCGACGGGGTATTGGCGACGGATTTAAAATCCGTCGTCAATACAAACATTGGCGACGGAACATTAGCAACGGGGTGGTTCTCGTCGCCAATGTTTGTATTGGCGATGGATTTCAATCCGTCGCCAATGTTTGTATTGGCGACGGATTTCAATCCGTCGCCAATGTTTTTCCGTCGCCAATACGTATTGGCGACGGAAAAACATTGGCGACAGATCGAATCTGTCGCCAATAAGTATTAGTGACGGATTCGATCCGTCGCTAATACTTATTGGCGACAGATTTGATCTGTCGCTAATGTTCCGTCACCAATACGTATTGGCGACGGATTCGAATCTGTCGCCAATAAGTATTGGTGACGGATTCGATCCGTCGGCAATGTTCCGTCGCCAATATTTATTGGCGACAGATTCGAATACGTCGCCAATACTTATTGGCGACGAATCGAATCTGTCGCCAATGTTTTTCCGTCGCCAATACTTATTGGCGATCCGTCGTCAATGCTAATGTGTCCATCGTAAAAAATAAAATTAGTGTTTGATTATCCCATTGTTAATGAGTGGCCCCACAAAAAATTAAGAATTATTTTAATATTAGTCCCTCAAATCTATAATATTTTAAATGTAGTCCAATACTATTTTGTTCCACGCAGGTAGATGATAGCTTGAGAGCTGAGGATGTGGAAGTCTACTATGATGCAGGATAGTTATTTGGTGGCCTTCTCAAGGGCCCCCTGCTCCCCTCTAGCTAGCGCTGCTGTTTTCAGCTCATGTTGCCACTGTTTGAGCAAGGCCTCAACTTTGATATTGAAAACATAGTGCCACGCCCCAGGGTAGTCCTCAAGACAATAGTATTCCTACAATTTTGTATATAGATATATAAGATATCTAAGTAGCGAAGTAATGCAAAATCATTTCTACAAAACTTTTAACAAAAATAACACACAGAAAAATTCAATATCTAGAACATTAACACGGGTAAAAGATGCAACATGGAAGTAGCCATTTTTCTACATAAACTAACTTCCTAAATAGACTAAGTGTTAACAAGAAGGAATGATCGAGGAATTGGAATCTTCACAAACAAGTGCTTTCACAAGGGATACCTAGATGTTGCGCAGTAGAACATGAGATTTACTAGCCATTTTCACAAACAAGTGCTTTCACAAGGGATACCTAGATGTTGCGCAGTAGAACATGAGATTTACTAGCCATTTTGTGTTTGAATTTTCTGTTTGTGGTGTGAGTTCTGTGCTCCTCCACTTTGTATGAGTGTGTGTACACGTGTATGTCCAAGATATTTGTGAGTGTTAATATCTGCCTATGTTCATGTTCACGGTGCATGTATGTCATTGCAAATACTAGGACAAATTGATTGTATATGTCATTACAAACGTTTTGTAAACGTATTCTATATCAAAAAATACCGAAGTAATAATCATATACCATCTGCTCTGTCCATATTTCCTCGTATGCGAACCATGGAAGCTCCTTGAATTTGAAGTACGTGTTTATGATTTGGGCCCGCCGTACTAAAACGCCGAAGTAGTTATTAATTTTTTTTTACCATGGGCCAATCGGCAAGTTATCAACCCACTGAAGAATTCCCCGAAAGCCTCTCGGTGCCTATTTGGAATCAGGCTTGCCTTCACCATGTCCTCCCGGTCCAGTTGCATCTCGCTTTGCCCCTACATTGACAATAGAAGTTAAGTGTAAAAAGGCAAAAACAATGAGACAAAATTATTATATTTACCTCTCTCCACTTCTCTATCCCTCGCGGCGATTGCAACTTGCTTTCTAACTTGCATCATATGCTTTAGTTCATCTAGCCTTTTGAGTGCAAGTGGATGATACTTCAAAGCATTAGTCTTTGATATGATCGAGTCTGGAGGCAATGGTAGATCGGGGATGTCAGGGGTCCACGAATGCAACTCAGCCCCCTGCGTATGATGCGAAGACGATGGTGTCCAAGAACCCTCTACAATGATTAAAGAAGATAATCAATACGAGAAAATTGAAGGATCATTATATTGAGATGCAAAGTAAAAAATGAATATATTGCGACACCATTACCTGTAGTGTGGGAGGGCTCTGCATGTGAATCAGTGGCTCTGGGTGAAGAATAATCTATGCCTGCCAAATTATCTATGCAAATAAAAATTAATATTGCTAACATACAATAGATTTTAAATACAAAAGCTGGACTTTAAATATGATTGGATAAATATTACAAACACATATATGATTAATACCTATATGAGGCGAGAATGCTAGAGTTATGTCCCGAAGACGACTCGATAATTCTGCATCATCTACCCATATAAAAAGAACTTAGCCTAAATTATGTTTCATATGTCTACTTTGAGTTGTACAAAGATAATTGAAATTCATACCTATATCCGTATGTGATGAAATGTGTGCCTCCTGAAGCTGTTCTGAGCCTAGGCTCGTAGATCGTGACCGATCACGCGATCAATCAAATAACCTCGAGTTCTTCATCTGTAAAATTAGATTAGGAGAATTAAAGAAGAAATATATGCCTACTAATTCACAAGATTAACATCTATTGTAATTAAACATTTAAATAACATCCGCGCCTAAAATGACATATAGAATATACCTTCTACAACTTGCTATTTTCGTATTGAACGAGGTATTGCTTGTATTGTTTGGGCTATATTTAATGTTGTCTACTTTCGTCTACTAGTAGTTGATTCTAGTTACACATCTGCCTCTGGTTCTCTGTCCCTGACTAAAATTGGGTTATCAGTCTGAATCTCCGCATCTGTCATATCAAGCATGACATTCTGAGGGTAAGAGAAATTCTGCCAAATTTCATCATCGGATTCTGCACCTCTTGGGGATTCTTCTCTTTCGGTTTATTCACCGGCTGGTGTCGAGCTTCTTCGCTCGGTGTAGAACTTGTAATCACCCCCATCTCCGTGAGAGTTTTGGCTGGTCCCCGTTTATTCACCCCCTGCTCACTAGGTCATCACTATCGGCGTTATTATTAGGGAGGACAATAGATCTTGGCTCCTTGTATAGCACGACCCAATCGGTGGCAACCTTTGGGTCTTTCACATAGAAGCACTGGTCCGCCTATTTTGCGAATATGAACTTTTCATCTAGATATATCTCTTTGTCAAGGTTTACAAGTGTAAACCCGTAATGATCCTTGCGCGGTTTGGCAGGACTCCATCGAACCTTAAACATGCAATAATTACACTGATTTTTTTTACCATAGCCGTAAATTATCTCTACAATATCTTCCGACTGGCCATAATATAAGATGTCAGCTTCAACTGGGTTTTGATCTCTTACGCTAGAAAAACATTCCTGAGCAAAACAGCCCATGACCCCACTATTTTGTGTTACCCTCTTATCATCGGTCGCCACTGTTTTAAACTTATACCCATTAATGATGTGTTCACTATATCGTCTCACTTCATAGTGAGGACATTGTGCGTGAACTAAAATATCTTCAGAGATTACGACACCAGCAAGAACGTCTTTATCAACCTAATTCAAGCATCAATTGAATAAAATGATCTCCGAGTTTGCTTAAAAATTTAAAAATAAAAAATACAATACTACTTCTACGCTACTTACTGTTCGCGGTAACCAATCGGGAAAATCTTTGATGTGCTTTTTTTGGATATCATGTGCTGCATTCCTGAGATCCGGTCGGATCTACCCGATTCAACTGGTATTATTCCGCGAAGGGAATAATAGCCGGGGAGGATTAGTTCACCAAGGAAATAATCGTCCGAATCTCGGGATCAAAGGCCAAGCTTTGATCCGGAGTGTAGTTTCGTGTAGATCTTAGATCTGATTTTTTACCTCTCGAACACCTGCCTTTTGTGACGTGGACGTTCGCCGAGAATCAGATTTGAATCTTCAAGTCCTCAAGTCTTCAAAACTCCAAGCTCGATCTCCAATTCGGCAGAGTTTCGGCTCTCAAAGTTCCAACCTTTT